CTGACTGGCAACATCGCGCTCGTAGTCCTCACGCAATTGCTTTTTAGGGAGAAAAGAAAACAACGGCGGCAGATGAGGATAGAGCAAATGGAATTGGCGTGACTAAACAGTCTATGCAATCACCGCCTACAAAATCTGAGTAGATGAAAAAAGCAAGCCAGAACCTAGTTGGTTAGATTTAAAAAAAACTCATGAGTTTGTGCACTGCTGCATGCGGGAAATGAAGGTTTGAGGGCGCCGAAGTATAATTTAAAAAAAACAGTACTGTCAAGCTGAAATTATGACAGACCCGCCACCAGTATGGTAGCATAATAAAATCTTTTATTAGACATTGATCGGACGAGCGCCCGAGCCCAGGCACTCTGGCGAACCAGATAACGCCCTATATGTTAAGCCAGACAGTCTTGTGTACAACTACTGTCCTTATCAATTGCAAGTGCATAAATGTGATACAATTACGCCAGTGGAGGAACTAGCTAGAGATAACCGAATTATAACGAGTCAAAAACCATAAAGGTGTTCAAAATGAAAAAAAGCGATCACTAGGATGAACATTCGCACTTAATTCCATTTGATGCCAGCCATCGAAGAGCAGAGACTAGATTCCACAAAATGTAGATGTCAGACAGTAAGACAAAGAGCGTCCGACGCTAAAAAAAGCTCAGGCACAATAGCCGACAGCGACTACCAGGAAAAGTTAATTTCGGAGCCTATTGGCTAGGCGCCTCAAGAAAGAGAAAGTGTGCAGAAAAAGGTAGAAGATGGAGGGCGCGTACAGCAATCTTGCGTGCAAAAGTATCCGAGTGAACCTTCAACTCGCGCTGATGTTCCTCGTTGAGCTCACGTAGGCGTTTTGTTTCCTGGTCCACCAGAATATTCTTCTTATCGGCCTGTTGTTGGTCAAGTTCAGTGAAGCGGGACATCCACTTAGTGTCCAGAGCACGTAACTGAGCACGTTGGCGGCTCTCAAGCTGTTGGAGGTTTCGGTTAGCGGTCTGCCGCCAACGCTCCTGAAACTAAAACAACACACAGGAAGCAACCCGGATGAGTTCTAGCCCTGACAAGAAGCCGAGATCAGAAAGAAATTAAGCGCTCGAGACCAGTTAAATCAATAATAGGAGAGTCAGTATGTCAACCAGATAGCCGCCTACTGAAATGACATGCTCTCACGAGCACCATGAGCGAGTTACATACGCGCCCTTTCCCCACATGCCCCAGAACCTGATCGTCTCCTAACATACTGGAGAGGGACTTTGTGCAGTAGCATTCTTCGTGATAACTTCACAAAAGTATATATTTAATGAAAACATAGAACCACTACTAATACTGCTACTACTACAGCTAAAGACTGGCTGAGTGTGACTAATTTCAGCTAATTTCCATGAGAGAGTCGAATAAAATCGTGAAACAACCAGAGAGACTTGGCAACGCAAGCTCCTAAATCAAGCTGGCAATTGAACAAAAACTTCAAGGATAGACATAGGAGTGTTTAGGAGCTCTAGTTGTGAAGAAGACGACTCGATCGCTGGGACAATACGTTTATTCACCTGACGTTTCGACATCCGTCGCGGATTCATCATCAGAGACATGAGCAGGAAACAGTCGCAGCTCTAGTTGTGTTCTAGTGTGTCCTCATGTTGCTAACGGGGCTAGGCCATTTGGGAGATTTATGGACACACACTAAATGCCTAATTGTACGAGGTGTTCTTTCCGCATTGCTTCCACTTAACACCTGATTGCCAAGAATGTCTCCAAGACTCTGGCGAATGCGGTGGCCGGTTTCTACCGACCGGCTACAGTAGGTAAGTTTAGGACGAGTACTCCCTCAGTTGGGAGTGTTGGACATTAGTTTGAGTCAGGAGGCAGAAGCCAGCCATCTTTTGGAAAGCCTACATGGCATTTAACGACATAACACGCATCACCAAAAGTTTGTTGCTTAACGTCATAGCGTCTTTAGCGACAATCTGGCAGAGTACATATAAAGACAGAGGGCGTACCTTTGCGAGGGTGTCCTTTGGTAGTGGACCGGACTCAGGATTTCCCGCGCGTAAATTCCTTTGGAATTCAGCCAATTGTTTCTTTTGATCGTACTTTTCCCGTTTTAAGAACTCCTTTTTCTCTTGAGCTTGCTTGTCCAGGAAGTTGGAGCGTTCGGCCTCCGCGGACTGAAGCAGAAAAGAATTTAATTTGCTTGTACAAGGCGGCATATATGATCTAAATCTCCTCTATTCATAGCCGGCTTCGTAAATGCATCAAATGAAGCACCATATTGCCTAGTAGGGACCCATATACTAGGTGTATTTGATAAATCTGGTTTTAGGACAATCTACGACTGACGGAAATTATCCAGAAGCTTTAAAACATCTTCAATAGACGCTTTCACTCTGAACACAACGGCCGAGGAGGTGTTGAAATGAGTAAGCACTTACAGGCGTGATTCAAGCCGCGTATCCAACGGAATCAACTCTACGCATGTGAAGAAAAATATTAAGTGTTTTCGTGTTAAATGCAGATTGCTACTACTACTGCTGCTGCTACTACTAATACAACAACAGCTACTACTACCAATACAAATTCTACTGCCGTTTCGTTTGCAGGCACGGACAGCTTTACATCTAATTTGGTAGTATTCAACCCAAGCAAGTAATTTCTAATGAAAAGAAGAAGCATAAGAAAGCTGTAAAGTTGAAGAGGAAAACGCACCTCCTTGAGATCGGCCATCTCAGAGGCAAGTCTTCGGGCAAGCAGTTGACGTTGGGCCATTGAAAAGTCGCGGATTTGGTTTGCAGCCAGCTGGTACCGCATCTGCATGTGGCGTTGTTCCATCTTCCACTGCTCGTTGGCGTGGTCTGCGTTGCAAAAGGAACGTTAAGCACAGACATGCAGATAAAAAGTGCGATTAGCATGTTCTCGCGAGCAATCATGACAGGACAATTCGGAGGATAGGGTCTCGAAAGTGAGGAATGAGTCATAACCTACAATATTGTAGCATCTTACAGTATATTAGAGATTAATTCATATTCAATGATTTTTAGGCCCGATGGAAAAGAACTAGGTCGCCTAGGTGGGAGTCGGATCCACGACAACAAAGGCAGGGCATAAGTCCAGCCAACGCTCTGATTACCTGAGCAATGAAGCACCACTGGAAGTCATGAGCTTAAAAATATTTGGACGATCAGCCTACCCAGTCTACTACGACGTATGCAGTCCACTGCTTTTGGTCCAGTAGGCTGAGTGTC